TGGCATTGATGTTTAGTTTGTGTGTATGCGTTTATTCTGTGTTTGTGTACAGGTAGAGGCCTTGCGACGAGCTGATCACCCGCCCAAGGAGTCCTACCGAATGTGTAATATGTAGAAAAACCGAAGTGAACGGAGAAGTTCATGGAGGTAGGCCTAGGCTCACTGGGGCTGTAGTGCCAAGGGAAAAAAATGATATCTAACCCTGGGAAACCAGCCATTGAAGTAAATTCTTATCGGCCGATTACTTTGCTGCCGGTCACATCGAAGCTTCCTGAAAAGTCACTATTGAAGAGAATTAGAAACGACTTATACTGTAAACTGTTATCTTCGATTACCAATTTGGATTGAGGGAAGGACAGTCCACAATACAACGAGATCGCAACAGGCTTCGAAGAAGAAACATTATGTACAGCAGTTTACCTTGACTTAGCTCATGCCTTTGACAAGGTCTGGCACACTGGACTGCTGTATAAAATCAGCAGTACTGTCACGCACCCTGGCAACGCGACAAGAAATTAATGGGTTTCGGATTAGATTAATCGATTTATTGCATAAGTCGATTACAATTGCAATTACAATCACTCATAAATCACGTCTTCCCGACGATGGAACCTGGTTAGTCTGTCGTCTTCTGGTTCTTAGCTGAGTTGTTTTCTTCTGCTCTCGGCTTTGCTCCGTTCGCCTCTGTTCTCGTTCTTACCTGTTCTCAGTTCTCTTCTGAACTCTGCGTTTCAATTCTGACCTTCCTGGTCTGTTACAACTGACAGTCGGGCGACCTAGAAGACACCTTCTTCAATGATCGCGTTTCACGTGTTCTATGCACAGGTAACCAATGTGTATTCGTTGCCGCGGAAACTTCAGAGGTTATCTACTCAGTTATCATGTTCCGTCTAACAGAACAAAGAGAATGTATGATATTTAATTTATTTTATTAAAATCACAACATGTTTCAATCATTTTATCTGGTCATTATCAGGTGAATACAAATACTTAATTAGTAAAAAAGATAAAGGTATCCCCGTAGCAAGCCGCGGAGGCCCATAAGGTTGTGAGATGTTGAGGCTCCCACATTTTCTAGACGGTGGGCTCACAGATGGCGGTGAGGTTGTCCGCTTTACGCGTCGGCCGCCCTTTACCCCCATGAATATTCCTGGTACTCATTTCGGTTAGAGGCTGAGTTGACCCTAGGGTCATAGTGCGGCTGGAAGGATTAGATCTGTTGAAAAAATCCAACTCATCGGGATTCGATCCCGCAGCTTTTCTGCTTGTAGAATAATGCCTCAACCAACTACGCTACCGCTTGCCCCCAATAATTAATGAGTGCTCGATTGAATTGTATTGGGCCCGTATGAGAGGTAAAACAATTGCAATTCAATAGAGCACTCATTGTATTTGTATTTGTATTCACCTGATGATGACCAGATAAAATAGTCGAAATATGTGATTTTAATAAAACGAATTGAGTGTCATACATTTTCTGTGTTGCGTTAGAAGGAGCATGATAATTGATTAGTTTGATGACGCAGTAGGATGCATTCCATAAAGCTTCACTAGTTCTCGTTTTTCACTTGTGTGGCAACGTCTTTTATGTATGTGTTGTCGCGTGAACCTCTTCATTGTCAGCCCGACAAAGACACAGAACCGTCGATACCTGGCCGTTGCCTAACAATGGACGCTCGCTGTGACTCAGATGTTCTGGCTTTTAGGCGGCACGCTACAATACATTCCCCAACCCATGCTACCTACATTTAAAGTCATACATCATCGAAATCCACTTTCAAATAAAATATACTAATTCATATTCAGATAGCTACCAGGTGAAATCAGGTGTCCCTCATGGAAGCGTGATGCTGCCTCTACTCTACTTAATCTATACTGCAGACCAAAGCAGAATTCTATGTGTCCCGGCCGAGATTTGAACTGGGCATCTACCGAATAAAAGTAGGAAAATTTGTCTCTTGAACCAACTTGCTCTTTATGATGAATTAGAAAAAAATGTAACAAGAAGTTGTCGTGGGCTACTTTAAATATTTCCGAAACATTCTCTTGGAAGGAATGAGGACAGCCAAGAAAAAGTAAGGTCGTCTGCATGACAACCTCGAACTTAAAGCCTTCTAAATATTAATTTAGAGTGGTAACCTCTGATAACAACGGTCGGCAGCCGACATGATGGTTTTACTGGTTTGATATTGTGATGACATGTAGGTAAGTAAGTTATCGTACGTTTTAACTTTATAACTGCACTGTTAGTGAATCGTCAGTTCTCACTGAGTCTGGCTGTGAACCTGAATACTCGGGTACTAATTGCCCAGATGACTCGGTACTTGGCCTCGTCATTGACAGGAACAAGTATCCTACACATCCTTGCCAAGTGAGTCATCTTTCGTTCATACCTCTTAGTCTTAGACGTCAATTTATTGAGGTAATACACACCTAAATTATTTCTGTAATGTCACTTCCATATAGACATTGCACCGCTTATAGTCAACCCCTCTTTTTTTCGTAGCGTTAAACACGCACTGCATAGAAAAATGTTTCACCCAGAAATTGTTGGAATGAATATTAATGTCTTCTGTGAGGTGACTCGGCGTAGTCCCAGTATAAGGTCACCGACGTTTCGAAGGATTTCTTGCTACCATGAAGACAGATGGAGTACATTCCTGCGAAACGTGAACATTAACGGGGGCATGTCGCGTCACATTCCAGAATTTTTTTTATTGCTAGTGGAGTGGGACTAAGTCCCTTGTACTCCGGCCACTTCTGGCCACCAGCCCCAGATGATAGGTGACGGTGATTGTGGAGCAATTGGTGGAATGAAGATTGGCAGGGGAAACCGAAGTACTCGGAGAAAACCCACCACAGCCCCACTTTGTCCACCGCAAATCCCACTTGACCAGACCCGGGATCGAATCCAGGCCGCCGCGGTGGGAAGCCAGCGACTACCCGCTTGAGCTATGGCGCGGTCACATTCCAGAAGGTAGCACTCTTCAGATTCAAGGTTGTGGGGACTTCAAATCCACCATATTACGGTAGATGTTACCGACGTTTCGGGTGAACATTCTTACTTTATCATGAAGGTAGATGAGTGGAACTCGTCTGTGTTAAATCATCATATTTGTAGCTGTTCACCATTACAAAATGTAAGCTACGGTTGTTAATACAAGGAGGTTTCCTACAAGAAACAACAGTGATAGGGTTAAGCAGAGACTTATGCTGGATCGTATAATAGTAGGAACAAGACGAGCGCGTGGTCGGTAAACATTGTGTAAATTAATCATAAAGAGGCACAAATACGTTTCCTTTGTTTAAAGTAATGGATGTCTTTATTATTACTTCTAGTATGAAAACTCTTCTGCCGGTCACGGTAGCCGAGCGCTCTAAGGCATGCACTGTCGTCGCTCGCTCGGAAACCGGGATCGTGGGTTCGGATCTGTTTCCTGTGAGGTACGAACTGAATTCTTATATATTATTCTTATACACTGCCGGTCACGGTAGCCGAGCGGTCTAAGGCATGCACTGTCTTCGCTCGCTCGGAA